ACTAAGACCAGGGATAAATTCGTTATCTACGTTCATATCCGTAGATATGGATATTTTAACACCCTTCTGTACCCTGTACACCCTTCGGCTTCGCCTCAGGGTGTACTTGGATACTTCAGGGTGTTAAAATATCCATATCTACGGATATGAACGTAGATAACTTATATTATTCCACTGTTTAAACATATTGATAGTTTAATCAATATTTGATTGGTTGAGACTATCCCACGTGTCATTGAACAAATCTTCATATTCCATTCTGAGGATCATATTCCCCTCTGAAATGTCGGGATTACTTCGTGCGACGTTACGCGCGGTTAATGTACATAACGTTTTGAACTTCTTATTCTTTTTAAAATAGCGATAGCAAAAATCATTATCATGTTCAAATTTATTTCAGACGATAAAACAAAAAGACTTATAATTAAATTTTGATCCTTACTGTTTATCAACGGGTATGTCGTGTTTAGTTTGACTTACAAAAACAAGCGGGTAAGAAAAAAAATGTATGCAAAATAATATTTAATGTATTGATAGTAAACAAAGCATAGGCAGTGGAATAAAACATTCATTTCCCTTTGCCTCGGGAGATATGAAGATTTGCTCACCCTCGAAAATCATATTTCCCTCGGGCAGAGCCCTCGTGAAATATGAATATTCTTGGGTGAACAAATCTTCATATCTCCCTCCGGCACGGGAAATAAATGTATAATATTTCCTTAACGATAGAACGTGATTGAAACGTTGAGCTGATTTTTACAGAGTTATCTCCCTGTAGTGTTATGTACCACCTTAATGCATTATTTGATCGTTGTTTCAATAATGTACAGTAGCAAATATTTCATGCATACCAACAACACCACGCACAAACATCAAGGTCAGTATATGGTCTTCAAATGACAATATAATGCATATATGTCTATTTTAGACGAGTCCCAGTCAAGACCCCCTTTGTTAGTCGAGAGTTACGATCATATTCCCTCTCTGCAAGATCGTAATATCTGACTAGCGAAGATGAGCCAAGACAAGTTTTGGATATAAATTTTAAAAAAGACTATAATATAATATTTGCCACTACGCAAAATTCTATTAAAGACGAAAATTACAACTAAAGACAAACCATGGCTAGGTTCCTGACATATGATATGCTTGATAAATATTTATGCGTGCATGATAAATATTTATGCGTGATGCTTTTATAACTAGTTTTTAGTATTGGACCCTCCCCCTAAACCTCGATCAAGTAGACAAAGCTCATCAATCTCATATATAATACAGACGCTTTAAAACGCAGTTATTTCATCTTAAATCCTCACGTAATACTTTATTTTAAATATGTTAATCATCATGTCCTATTATTAGTAAACCTCAATACTTATTCATAAAAACAAGTATAACTACAAATTTTATAAAAATGAATCGTCGTAAAATTTGAAATTAATCCAAACCATATAAAAAATTTACTAACAAAAAAGTATTTTTCTAAAACAAAAAAAAGGATCTTAAATAAAGATAACTCAAAAACTATTGGATATATACCGTAATACACTAAATGACAATGAATTAATTTAATAGTAGGAGATGCTACTTAAAAGTTCATTGTGTAGGCTGAAATGTACAAACGAAAAAGTGTTAAAAGGTTTACAAATTTATCATCGGAAAAAACAAATTGTGACATCGCTAATCTGATTGAACTGCAGTTCATGAGTGTGTGGATGGAGGTCTGCAGAATGAAGAACAATGGGCAAAAAATAAAAAGAATACAGAAAATGAAGTAAAAAAATATAGAATAGAGAAAAATGAGGTGCCAAAATATAAATGAATAGAGAAAAGTGGCATAAAAAATTAAGATTACGGAAATGAAGGACAATCCTACCAGACCCTCGATCGTGTGCCCATGATTCGCTTTCAAGCAAAGCGTGTACAAAGGATCTGACTTTCATCAGATTTACACATCTCTGACATCCGAGGGAAAATCACCAGTCTTTCGATGCTTGGCCGTTACAAAGTCGAACTTGGTGATATTCCGAATGATCAACCTCACTCTCCTGATTGTCTTGTTCCTTTCCTCCCTAGGGGAAATGACATTGTCCCCAGAGACTTAGTCCCTTAACAGACTATATTATTATACTTCATGTCAAAATGCCAGATTTTGATTGGTTGATAGGAGGGAGACAATTTACTTTATTATACTTCATGTCAAAATATGGGATTCTGATTGGTTAATAAGAGGGAGACAATTAACTCTTTCCCATGGCAAATACTCAATTACCCTACACGGAGACGCTTGATCATTCGTGCGCTTTTTTTAAATAGGGATGACTGTTATGTACAAAACGTTATAGTTTATTACTTTGAAGTTGAAATCTAATAGACAGTAATAACAGAACATTCAGTATAATAAAGTAAATAATACATAGCTGAAAGGGTGATAGAGCAGATTGTTACCCCTCGAAAATGTATTGTCAACCTTGGCTTCGCCGCGGTTAACAATGTGTTCTCGGGGTAACAATCTGCTCTATCACCCTCTCAGCTATGTGTTATTTATATACTATCCCAGTGCAAATACTCTATTACCCTTCACGGAGACGCTTTAATAAATACGGATGATTGTTATGCACAAGACGTCGTAGTTTATTACTTTGAATTTGAAATTAAAGACAGTTATAACAGAACATTCAGTAGAATAAATTAAATAACACTTAGCTGAGAGGGTGATAGGGAAGATTGTTACCCCCCGAAAAGACATTGTCAACCTTGGCTTCACCTCAGTTGACAATGTTTTCTCCGGGTAACAATCTGCTCTATCACCCTCTCAGCTTTGTGTTATTTATATAATGTACGATATTAAATGTTTCAGGTGTGTGGCAGTACGAGTGTGAAACTCATTTTCAAAAGAAACCCGAGTCATGACTTCATTTCATCAGTTACAACATTATATAAAAAGCTGGTGTGAGTGACAAATATGATAGTGTAATCCATTCCAAATCCAACCAGTGCTGCATCAAAGCTGATTCGTTCTGACTAAATTAAACATTGTGGTTTGTTTCTTGATTTTCTTTTTTGTTTGCTTAATTAGATTTTTTGCTTGCTAATTGATTACTTTGTTTAGCTATTAACTATGTATTTGATTCCATTCTGAAAAGGAGAAACCAAGGGTCCGTAAGAAGGGAGGACGTAATAGCCCAAAATGATTAAAACAAAGGGTCCGTAAGAAGGGAGGAAGTAATTGTCCAAAATGATTAAAACAAAGGGTCCGTAAGAAGGGAGGACGCAATTGTCCAAAATGGTAAAAACAAAGGGTCCGTGGAAAGGGAGGACGTAATTGTCTAATATGGGGAAAACAAAGGGTCCGTGGGAAGGGAAGACGTAATTGTCCAAAATGGTAAAAACAAAGGGTCCGTGGAAAGGGAGAACGTAATCGTCCAAAATGGTAAAAACAAAGGGTCCGTAAGAAGGGAGGACGTAATTGCCCAAAATGATTTAAACAAAGGGTCCGTAAGAAGGGAGGACGTAATTGCCCAAAATGATTAAAACAAAGGCTCCGTTAGAAGGGAGGACGTAATTGCCCAAAATGATTAAAACAAAGGGTCCGTAAGAAGGGAGGACGTAATTGCCCAAAATGATTAAAACAAAGGGTCCGTAAGAAGGGAGGACGTAATTGCCCAAAATGATTAAAACAAAGGGTCCGTAAGAAGGGAGGACGTAATTGCCCAAAATGATTAAAACAAATGGTCCATAAGAAGAGAGGACGTAATTGCCCAAAATGATTAAAACAAAGGGTCCGTAAGAAGGGAGAACGTAATTGTCCAAAATGATTAAAACAAAGGGTTCGTAAGAAGGGAGGACGTTATTGTCCAAAATGATTAAAGTAAAGGGTCCGTGGAAAGGGAAGACGTAATTGTCCAAAATGGTAAAAACAAAGGGTCCGTGGGAAGGGAGGACGTAATCGTCCAAAATGGTAAAAACAAATGGTCCGTGGAAAGGGAGGACGTAATTGTCCCAAAAAGGTAAAAATAATTGTTTTCACTTCCCATTTGAAATAATTTTTTCAAGAATGAACAAGTACCCACTAAAAATAAACCCTCTCAAAAAAAAAAACCCACGATGCATAGTTTGTGCATTAGCGACCTTGACTACTTCTGATTTGTAAAGCCCTTTAAACGCAAATCATATTTGTATTTTTGAGTTTCTACAACCCAAGTTGATACTAGGCTGGTACAGACTTAGTTCCGGGTAGAAATGTTTTATGATTTGATTTCTGTTTGTTTGTTTGTTTGTTTGTTTGTTTGTTTGTTTATTTGTTTGTTTGTCGATAAGATTCACGGTACCAAATTTACTGCACGAGATGCTCATAGCGACAATTATGTCTCAAGGCTTTTCATTCTTATTTGTTTGTTGTGTTGCAGTCTCATAATTACCGACGTAATATACGAGACTAAGTTTACAATTATACAGGTAGAGTATATAAATTGTTTATGTTGCCAATGAATTTCAGTCTATCTAAACTGATTTCTGCGAAGGGGCAGATCAAGCCATTTTTAAAAGGGGGTTCCAACCATATGTCCCCATTCAAAAGCATTGATCGTCAAAAAAAGGGGGCTCTAACCCCCCGGACCCCCCTCCCTGGTATCCTATAGCCTTTTGTAATTTACCTGTGAATACCAGCACCATTTTTATTCCGAACAAAATAATCAGAGCCGATTAGGAGGGTCTGGATGGGGTGTCCTTCATTTTTGCATGCATTCTTTAATTTTTTAGGTAATTTTTCTCTATTCTTTATAGTTTTTGCCCATTATTCTCTGTTCTTTATATTTTAGCACCTCAATGTTGTCTATTTTTTTGGGGTCCATTTTTCTCTATTCTTTATATTTTTTGCCCATTATTCTCTATTCTGTGAACCCCTATCCACTTCCTCGAATAGGTTCTGGATAGACAAAAATTCCAATGTATACAATATAAAAGTTTTACGTGTTGAAATTATTTTCATAATAACTTACCTTTTTGAACACGTACAAGTGAATAGCTCCTCCGCTCGAACAATTATTTCAAAAATGAATAATTACACTACTTAATAAACAATTTATAGCGGGAATGAATCATGACAAACTAGGAAATGACCCGCTTTAAATAGCTCATTTATGAAAATCAATACTTAGAAATTTGTGAATTGCGTAATGTTTGTTTTAACCAGGAAAGCGTTAGTATTGTCACATGGTGAATGACACAGCTACTACTGCATGTACATGTAGGTGTACTACATTCACTACTTATACTGTTACAAAGAAGGACATTCGTATGAAAAAAAATAGTTTTTTTTTCTGTTTTCAATTATTTTATATAGATATAACAACAATACTATACATTATCATTATTCTTGTAATTGTTATAATAATGATAATAATCAATTATATTACCCGACGATACCAAAAGGTCAATCCAAATTCATAAGTTAACAAGAATGTGTCCATAGTACACGGATGCCCCACTCGCACTATCATTTTCTATGTTCAGTGGACCGTGAAATTGGGGTCGAAACTCTAATTTGGCATTCAATTTAGAGAGATCATATCATAGAGAACATGTGTACTAAGTTTCAAGTTGATTGCACTTCAACTTCATCAAAAACTACCTTGACCAAAAACTTTAACCTGAAGCGGGTCCGTCGGACGGACGAACGAACGGACGCACAGAGCGAAAAACATAATGCCCCGCTACTGTCGTAGGTGGGGCATACTTATTTATTAAAGTCATAATAATGGTGATGTTTTCCCGCTTGAAACACAATAGTCTATATTTGAGGGTCTGGATTGGGTTCCTTCAGTTCTGTATTCTTTATTTTTTAAGCCATTTTTCTCTATTCTTTATAAATTTTGTCTATTATTCTCCATTCTTTATATTTTCTGCCCTTTATTCTGCACTTGTTGCTCATTATTCTCTATTCTTTAAACCCCATCCAGACCCTCATATCTTTTGCATGTTGTAGTTTTCTGCATTTTTGTCACTCTAAAGGCTGATAAATACTGTATCCTACCTCCTTGATAAAACGGGCATAGGACATTGAGCGAAAATTGAAAATGCACATAAGGTCATTTGAGCGCGACATCATAGGACATTTTAGCGCCGGAATATTTACCTTACCTGGATTTTCATAAAGGACGTTTGAGCGAAGTTTCATGTGACACTTTTATATGAGTTAAGAAAATAAAAAGTAATAGAAAAGAGTTAGTTTTTAAAATAAATATATTTTATTTGATTTTACACCCGAGTAATTCGACCGGTTCTGGTTAGTTAATGGAAGTGTAGTCCTGAGTTGAACTCTACTTACCAATCTAACCTCATTGTTTTGGACGTTGTAAGCCAATCTGAACGTTTTGGTGTACGCTTTTGAAACTATTACGTTAACAAATGCAACGGCGAATTGTACGACGTCTGTCGTCATTATTACAATTGACGAACTGTATTTGACAGTCGAAGTTTATGTATTAAATACACCTTGAGGGCGTTAGCCCGAATGGGATTATCTTATTTACACCAAGATATTATTGTCAATGAAGAATGATAGATTTCAATAATTTAGGAGGGGGTCTTTCAGCGAGTTGACCATATGTTATTGAAAAGCATGATAAATGCAGGGTACCCAATTTCATTTAACGACATATTGATGTAAGTTAGAATAAGACCGTTAATCAGGTAAATACAGAACAACTACGTGAAAATGAAACAAATCACAAACTAAAAATTCAAATGTACAAGAAAAGTAAGGAAAGACGTATACATACCAAACCGAGGCTAAATCAAAAGCTTAGGTCTTTAGACTAGTGATACAAACTGAGAGAAGACGAAGCTACTTGAATGACGGTCATTATTGTTGTTTTCATTTCCCGGTGAAACTGATAAAAATTCGGATTTATTGTAGCTCGCTTACTCCTCGTATGAGCATAACGAAATCAGAAATCTACAATTCAATTAGTTTGCTTCATTTCTGTTTTCATTATTTTATTTCTATGTAAATGGCATTATATTGTTGTTAATTGTAATTTGTATGTTAATTTGCCTTTTGCCATTTTTATCGGTGTAATTTGAGCAATAAAGATTAAATTATTTTTTCTATCATTTTTTCTATTATTTATTCTTTATTTGTTTTTACTTTTTTTCTCATTTCTCAGTTTCTTTATTTTTCCCTTTATTCCCTTTTTTTCTCAATTCGGAAATCCCATCCAGACCCATTTGAATGTCTAAATGCTAATCTCGAAAATTCCCTTTTTTTTAAGTAACGCATAAAAATAAATTTAAAGTTCCATAAACAATATAATTGAACTGAACCGTATTTTGCAACTCCTTCCGATGCTGAGTTCATTTATTTCATGAAAATTATTTTGTGACAAAATAAGGGGCCGAATACGGCCCTTAGTGTAACTTGTCCTTTGACCTTTGACACTTTAGTCTATTCTCATTTGGTCCTTATTTGGGGTTTTTATGATTTCAAATTATATACTAGTAAATGTTTTCGCTCTCCTGGCTTTTGTTCCTGAAAATTACCTGTTAAAATTGTACGATATAGATAAGATGTATCGGTAAATTACAAGTACTCCAATTCTTTTAGCCCAAATTATACCATCACGGGTCATGCTTATAATTTAGTCCAAATGTCTTGTGTGTACACATATAGACATATTTCGAGTATCTTTTTATGTAGGAATTACACCGATTGACTCGAGGTAAATCGCCTAAATTTACGTCATTGAACAATCGACTCTTACTGTGATGCAATAAATTAAGAACTGTGACATCAGAAATTAATGTACGTGAAAATACACCAATAGAAAAGTTGACTTGGATGAGTCGAACTCTTATTTCCTCTGCAACATTTGGTGAGGAAGTAAAACATTACGAAATATATAATTTGATTGAAGTAGACTTGTTTCCCTAACTTTGCGAACCAGGAAATACACAAATACTGATCCCTAACTCATGTGATATAGATCAGTGCACATATGCATTATACACAAGTTGTAAATTATTTTTGATTTATGCATGTAATTAGAATTATTTCCTCAATGCTTGTACAGCATTATTTTGATCCTGCTGTCGTATGTAAAAATCCTTAGATTACAATATTTATTGGGGAAAATTGGAAAAAGGGGGGGGGGGGGGAAGGGGGGGGGGGTATTAGCGTGATGCCGATAAATCCAGATAGACACAACGGACACACCACATTTTTAAAGCTGCAAATATTTGATGGATATTCAGGATGAGAACAAATTAAAAATAAATCTAATACGTTGTAGTTATACAAAATAAGTCGACAGGTATGAAGGTAGAACATTTAAATTGCTGCTGAAAATTGGGAATATGTTGCTTAGGGGCTGCCATATCTTGCAACATATCTAGATTATCTGATGACCTTTAACAGAGTTGTCGCACTTGAATAGTTCTTTAACGTGCAGAAAGCTGGTCACTCTCCCAAGCACGAGGCATCGGATTTATCGCCCCTATTTCGATTGGACGTTGCTGCGTATTTATTCATCCAGCACACACTAACAAACGCCCCTTTTTACCATTGGTTTTACAGTTGGATTGGATAAGCCAGAAATGACCATACTTCTGAACCCTAGTCAACTTTTGGTGTTAAATTTGTTTAATTTGACGGTTTGGGAGCCTTATTGTTAATCAAATCAATAAGATAAGACCCTTTAATGAAAAATGTTTTGCTGGTTTCTAATGAATTAAGGTGGTACATAACACTACAGGAAGATAACTCTGTAAAAATCAGCTGAACGTTTTAATCACGTTCTATTGTTAAGGAAATATTAAATGTTTGGCTTTGAGCGTTCCTGATGAAGGTAAATCCAGAAAAGCGCTTCGGACGCATGAAATTATTAAACGTGTTGTTTTCAATTTTTTACATCACTGGGTAGATACCTCTGCTGGTGGACTATCAGTCCCCGAGGGTATCATCAGCTCAGTAGTCAGTACTTCGGTACTGACATGATTTAACAAACCTTTCTAAAATTGTCCGTTTAGAAATTTAGAAATTATTAGGAAACTAAGGTTTCAACTCCCTCAGGCAAAGTTGACTTTAGATGATTTTGGCTATTTATTTTAGGTATTTTTGTCATATAGCTCTTCAACGGTTTCGGTAGTTATACATCCTCGGATTTCAAATGTTTGGCTTTGAGCGTTCCTGATGAAGGTAAATCCAGAAAAGAGCTTCGGACGCATGAAATTATTAAACGTGTTGTTTTCAATTTTTTAAGCTTCTCAATGATCAAAATTAGTGTTTGTCAAACTGCTATATATCCAATGAAATTTTTTCGATAAAGTGTGTGGTTCAAGTTTTTTAAAATGTTTATATTTTTGTCAAAGGGTCAAAGTAAATAATTTGTCAAAACTTTCCTGAAAATTAAACGAGCCAAATTAATTTTAGTCAAGGTGTTTGGTACCACCTTAACATTTACAAGAGCATATACATAATTTCTTTCAATGCTATGCCACAAATAAATCAAACTCAAATTGACATACATGTATGATTGGTTGCAATTGATAAATGAATGTTTAATGTCTAGCGACACACATTTCATACAAATTTCAGACGATACCATGAATGAATATCTAAAAATAAGCAGATGTGGTATGATTGCCAATGAGACAGCTCTCTACCAGTGATCAAATGACAAAGAATTTAACAGCTATAGATCACCGAACGATGAGCAAAATCCATACCCTAAAGTAAGCTGTAAAAGGCCTGGAATCGACAAATATATACAAATCAAAGGAAGTATTACTACATGTAACGGCCTGATTTATGTACAAAATAATGAACGAAAATCAAATATGATATACAGCAACAAACGACAGTTACTGAATAACAGGCTCCTGACTTGGGACAGGCACATACAGATTGTTGTGGGGTTTTACGCCCTATTTAATTAGTACAACACCGACAAATTTCAAAATTATCACAAGCTACCGAGGCGGTGGGTTGGTATATTGTATAAACACTTTTCTATTGTTACACACCGTAATTCTACATGTTGATCTTTAAATTTTGATTTTGGTTTTCCCCTCAATATCTGTAACAGAAACTTTTCCTTAAACTATTCATTAGTAATAATCATACAATACATGTATTAA